ATCAATTCAGACCAGATAGAAACTCTAGTCTCTACCTTTGTACCTACTGTAAGGATTACATGTAATTCATCATTCTTCGATCATAGTACTATGATAATAGATATCTAAGAGTAGGTCAACATTTTTGTTTAAACTGTAACTTAACGAACCAGCTTTTATCTTTGCCCATTCTTCGCCAGTCACACGAACATCTTCGTATTCTACACCGGCTGCAGCGAATAAATAACGCGTTACTTCTGCGCGTCCACGGCTATTAAAATATATCAACTTGTAGTTGGGCATTTTCAATTTAGTTTGCAAATATGAAGAGGGAGTCAACCAAAGCACCAAGCTGAAAATTGCGATGTGTCAAAATCGTTGGTAGAAGGGCATTTATATACTGTACTCAATGTCTGCGGCCATACGCTTACGCTATAAGCAGAGTAGCTCATACAAGCCATTAAAGCTAACACAGCTTTGAAGGCATTCTGCAAGCTTGTCAAAACCATAGTTCGACGGTACAGTGTACAGTACACACTCTACAGTAGTCCTTACTGTACTGTTACACTGTACACTGTAGAGGAGTGTAGTGTACCTACTGTACTGTATAGTCTTATACCGTACTGTACTGTACTGTACAGTACAGTGTACACTATGTATATACTGTAGTGTTAACACTGTACACTGTGTACGTTGGTACGTTCAATGAACGTCCGACGTTCAAATTGGACGTTCGTACGTTCGTTCATTAAAACTGGCTAACGTCCACAGTACTACTGTAGAGTGTAGACCTGACGTGTACCATCAAGCCTCGCACACCGTCAGCCCTAGCAGTCCAGTAAGTGAATCACTGGGACAAGAGCTTGTATCAAATACAACGCCTCGTGATAAAGTGGCGATCAAGCATCACAAGACGTCAACCACTACGATCAAAATCGCTGATTAAGCATATTCTCCAGTTCGAGCTTTGGAAAATCCTGAGGTTGCAAAATTAAAGCTGACTCAGCTTTGAAGGCATTCTGCAAGCTTGTCAAAACCATAGTTCGACGGTACAGTGTACAGTACACAGTCTACAGTACTCGCTGCTGTACTGTTACACCGTACACTGTAGAGGAGTGTAGTGTACCATCAAGCCTCGCCCACCGTCAGCCCTAGCAGTCCAGTAAGTGAATCGATGGGACAAGAGCTTGTATCAAATATAACACCTCATGGTAAAGTGGCGATCAAGCATCACAAGACGTCAACCACTACGATCAAAGTCGCTGATTAAGCATATCCTCCAGTTCGAGCTTTGGGAAATCCTGAGGTTGCAAAATTAAAGCTGACTCAGCTTTGAAGGCATTCTGCAAGCTTGTCAAAACCATAGTTCGACGGTACTGTACAGTGTACAGTACAAGTCTACGGTACTCGCTACTGTACTATTACACTGTACACTGTACCATCAAGCCTCGCCCACCGTCAGCCCTAGCAGTCCAGTAAGTGAATCGATGGGACAAGAGCTTGTATCAAATATAACAACACCACGTGGTAAAGTGGCGATCAAGCATCACAAGACGTCAACCACTACGATCAAAATCGCTGATCAAGCATATTCTCCAGCTCGAGCTTTGGGAAATCCTGAGGTTGCAAAATTAAAATCTTCCTACCATCGCTACTATTTAACCACAAGTTGATACTGTATCAGTATAAACTTATGCTTCATGATAACTGGCTACAACCATAAGAGTTCAATTTAATTCAGTAATCGAGTGATCGTCGTCGTCTTGGAATCGAAAACTGAAATCTACTGTTCAACCAATTAGGACATTCTCTCGATAGAATTGCTGATTGATCGCATCTCAAATCATTCAAGTAATATTCCATTGGCAAGGTAAATATATCCATTCTAGTCAATGTGACCATTAGCATAGAGGAATGCAATGATAGTGAATCGTTCGTTGGTCTTATTCTGGTGACATGAGCGTAGGCATAACTGGATCGTTCTAGAGTAAGCTAAGATGAGTAGAAAGATATAGAGAGGCAATGAATGACTGACTTGCTGACTGGAGGAGTTCTATCAGTCAGCAGAATAATAGTCATGGCGTTGAACGAATGATTATGCTAATAAATTCACCATGATCATATAACAGCCCTTCGATAGTATTCTTTTGCGCTAATGGGTGAACACTGGATAGACAACGCAGTATACATGCTTTAGTATGTCCTAG